ACGCGAGGCGCGGAGCATTTGGCTCTGGTACCCTTTTCTTCGTTGTTTTCAATTTAATCCTAGCAAATTGTATATCACAATGAAGCTCTTGATCTCTCCTTTCATGCTGATAACGTCGCAGAACTCCGGTCTGACTTGAACGAGGAATGATCAAAAGCCGTGTTTTTGAAAACACCTAGTTATTTCTTCAGTTTATCTCTTTTTAAGCGGTTTTTTCGTGCATCCGATATATAATATATCCGTCTATACCGTAGACAACTTCGCAGAGCTTATTTTTTCAATTCTGGTGAAATAATTGATAGAAAGCTTCAAAGTGCGTTTTGGTCGTAGCTTTTATTGGAATTATTAAGCAACCGTTTTTTTTCGCTTGCGGGCATCTTGCTCAGTATTATGAGCAGAACAAAGCTGACAACGTCGCAGAAAACAGAAATTACAAAAAGGGGGTAAAAGTTCAAAGCACGCATCAAAAACTAGATGGGTGTTGACATGCATTTCGGCCAAATGAAAAAACTTTGCGTTTATGTAACTAGTTATCTTTTCTTTATAACTTCTTTTTAATAATCACCTTCCGGAACATGGCTGTTTTTGCAACAATCATAGAGAAGAATTTAGCTTTCCTTCGTTTTCTCCCTTGTTGTGGATTTCCTGTTTTTCTGGAGCGAAAACCTGCAATAGATGGCCGCTAAGTGACTTCGAACTCGTTCAGCGTTTTCCACCAACTTTTTGATGTTTTTCCTGCTTTTCTGATTGTTTTGCATCTTTTACCCTTTTCTGACTCTTTATGAAAACAACCTTCACTTTTCTTGAGTGGCAGTATACAAAAACTAGACTATCTATCGCCTAGGAACGCGCTGAAAAAATTACATATGAGACAAGGAAGAATGACTAGAGCTTTAAGGAGCTGTTAGCACCGTGCATCACACAAAGACAACTGAAAAGTTTGGTGTAAGAAGTCTCCTCTGAGCTGAGAGAAGCTTATTTAACACATTGAAGCAGCACTCTTATATGCACCAGCGCGAAACAGCAAAAACGATTGGAGGTCTGAAGGTATTGGAGAGGCCGTGGCAGTGCGAGCACTCGCGGGCGCTATCCGGCCACTGCGTCGCGCGGGGGCTTTTGCCTGCTCCCTTTCGGGCCTGGGCCGTGCACCCCTCCTTGACCGCCCAGGACCTGCCACCTTCCGGCGGCTGACCCCTGGCGACGCAACGCTTGGCGCGGACGCCCGGTCGCCGTACTCAACGACTACCGCGGGACTCCTCCCCTCACTCCATCCACACCAATCTACTGCCTAGAAGCTGGCTCACAGGCGCCCGCCACGACGCCCAGTGACCATGAAGTTGGTTTTCGTCTATTCGTGTCAGTGGTTGGCGAGAGAGTGTGAGTCTTTAGGATGCGCCAAGCGCACGCGAAATCAGAGAGAGCACGGCAACGACGGAGTACACAGGATGCTTAACAAAACGTATATCACACGTAAACAGAGCACTAGACTAGGTCCTACAAGTTTATTCGTGTTTGTTGATCTTAACATATAGATGAGCTTAAACAAAAGTATTTTTTCAACACTGTTCGCTGAAAATTGATTTCAGTATTACTCAAGTTGATGCGTAAGCTAACGTACTTTCGATAGCCATTTGTTATTTGGCTCCAAATCTAAAAGAAAAGTAACACAACAATACATGTGCCCAGCTGATTGGAAATTTTTCTTCAGAAACTTTTTGCGCTGGAAAAATGTAATGACGGCAAACCAAAAAGTATATGTTGCAAATTTTGGGTATACAGCAGGTGAGTATTCTTTCTAGTTATTTCATTGTTTTTACGTTTGATTGCAAAATACGCGTGAGGCGCACCACCCGACAGAATGAAGCAATACAAGGTAACCTCCAGACATTTGCCTTGATCATGATCCACACAAAGTTCAAGGTAAATACATTTATGCATATGCTGTAATCTATAAACTTTAAAAGAATCTCCAAAATTTTTATCAAGTGACTTCTTTGCTCTTGTAAATAATTGAAACTGTTTTTAAAATTTTTCTAAAAATTCAAATTAGTTTTGTAAAAAAAATTTTTTGGTTTGTGGCTGCAGCCACGCCCCCTTCTCCTAGATATTAGAAGTGGACCGCAAAATTTTTGAGAAGTACTTCAGAGTGCGTGGCTACGCCGCGCACCTTCATTTGAAAAAGTTTTTTGGCCCTTTTCCCCCAGACGGAAATCCTGAGACCCCCACCATTACATAGGCATTGAGACTTTTTTGCGGCACAATATTGAAGTTAATTGATCCTTTGTGTACTAAGGCATTGGTACAAAACACTTCTCTCTTGTTCATCGGTTGATGGAAACAATCACCTGCTTTGCGCACCTGCTTTGATTTTTTTCTCTTATAAAAATGCAGGATTTTTCAGCATCCAGAAAAAAATCTTTTTACAAGGCTAATTTTAAAATAATTTTAATTATTTACGAGAGTAAACAAGTCACTTAATAAAAATTTCGGAGATTTTTCTAACGTTTTAGATCACAGCAAATACATAAATGTATTTTCCTTGAATGATCATGATGAAGGCGGATGTCTGGAGGTTACCTTGTGATTGCTTCATTGTATTGGATAGTGCGCCTCACGCGTGCAATCAAACGTACAAAAAAAATGAAATAATCAAATACCCGCATGCTCTATACTAAAAATTTGCAACATATTCGCCTCGGAAGTATTTTTGCTTCTTGAAGCGCCGCATCCCGCGGAACAAAGATTTCTAGGAGCTTTTGGAAGGTTCCAATGCAGTTTTTGAAGCTCTTTCAGAATCTTCATGTTGCATTTCAAAAGATCAGACCGCAGAAAATTGCCAAAACCACGGCTCAGGGTTCTTACCAAGGTCAAGCTTCGCTATTTTTTTTTGAAAATTTTTGTAAATGAGCCCAAGTAACATATGGATAGAGCAAACCTCATAGGATACAAAACAAAACTATTTTGTTCTCCTGCCCATGACTCGCCATAAATTTGTGACAGAATTTTCAAGAACACGATCGAATTTTAGCAAAGCCATGTCAGACGCAGTCTCGGGGAAATTCAGCAAGTTCACGATTTTTTGGACTTTTAGAAGTGGATTGTGAATCATCGCTAATTTAACAAAACAAATGAGCGTTTTGGGTTCCAAATTTTGAATTTTTGAGTAGAGCTAGCGGCGCCAAAAACATGAATTTTGTCAATTTTATCCTCTAAGACTTTATAAATCAGGAAGGAAAAACATGTCTCTGAAAGAGGTAAAAGTGCTGCATCGAATAATACCCGTTTTGCTTGCCGGTTGATGTTTCACGAGTATAAGTTGACCATATATGGAATTTGATGCCATCAAAGAAATAATTTAAAAATTCTGGAATGTAAGCTATGAAAGGGGAAAAAATTGCTTTGTATCCTATATGGTTCGCTCTGTCCATAGGTTACTCGGACTTCATCGGGGATTCAGTACAAGAATTTAGAAAATTACTGGAACCTGACCTTTGTAAGCATGGAGCGCAGTAGTCATTTTCTGAGAGTCCTTCGTTGAACTGCAACACAAAATTAACCATTTGAAAGAGCATGATAAACTGCATCGAATACCGCAAGATCTGTTGGGGATGTTTGTTCTGTGGATTGTGGCACCCATGCAAAAAAAACGAAAATACTTTTGGGACGACCTAATACTTTTAAGTCTGCCGTCATTAAATTTTTTCCAGTGCAAAAAGTTTCTGAAGAAAAATTTCAAAGCAGGCTAAGCACATGTGTTAAACACATTGGCGTTGTTTGTGTGCTTCAAAAAAGCAAAAAAATGCAATGTAACTCTAATGAAAATGGAAAGCCTATATTGTATCTTGTTTGCGGTTACTTTTCTTTCAGATTTGGGGCCAAATAACAAAAAATAGCTATCAAAAGTACGTCAGCTTACGCATCAACTTGAGTAGTGCTAAAATCATTTTAAGTGTTGAAAAATACTCTTGTAAGCTAAGCTCATCCATGTGCTAAGATCAAAAAACACGAGTAAACTTGTAAAATCTTGTCAAGTTCTCTGTTTACTTGTGATAAACCTTTTGCGCATCCTGTGCACTCCATCGCGGCCTTACTCTCTTCATGTTGGCGTGCGCCTGGCATATCCTAAATGTCTATACTCTCTCGCCAACCACTGACACGAATAGACGAAAAGCAACTGCATGGTCACTGGGCGTCGTGGCGGGCGCCTGTGAGCCAGCTTCTAGGCAGTAGATTGGTGTGGATGGAGTGAGGGGAGGAGTCCCGCGGTAGTCGCTGAGTACGGCGACCGGGCGTCCGCGCCAAGCGTTGCGTCGCCAGGGGTCAGCCGCCGGAAGGTGGCAGGTCCTGGGCGGTCAAGGAGGGGTGCATGGCCCAGGCCCGAAAGGGAGCAGGCAAAAGCCCCCGCGCGACGCAGTGGCCGGATAGCGCCCGCGAGTGCTCGCACTGCCACGGCCTCTCCAATACCTTCAGACCTCCAATCGTTTTTGCAATTTTACACGAAATTTTCAACTTGTGTCTTTTCTTACTAGTGGATCTTTTCTACGCCAGCAGATGATTTAGGAGATTTCGAGAAACTAGTGGTAACGCGTCCTTGCCTTGAGAATGGTGGCCCGCGTTTTGGTCTCCACATTCTATGACATAAGAGCTTACAACCTACCCATATTTCAATCGCTAGAAGCTGAGCTACCGAAATAAACAGTTTTGCAGATTCTCTGACGTATTTTGAGCTTACTGTGAGCGGGGTTCGCAGCTGTCAATGTGGTCAAAACCCACGCCTTCGGCATTCAGTGCGATTACAGAGGGCAAAGCTCCTTGTGAGGAGGATCCTTGGTCTTTATGAGCCCCCTTCCCAGTATTGTGAGTCATTGTAGGGACTGTCATTATTCATTTGCAATTTTTGAACCTCGGTATATTCTATGTAGCGTTGTTTGCCCGTTCATTGTAATGGCAACATTCTGATACGACCAAACGACAAACACATTAAAATTTCTTATCACAGAGGCGGGAAGAGGCTCAACAGCCGGCTTCACGCTCGTGCTGATAGTATCGTCTGTTTTGATCGATACCTTTTCAAACATGGTGAGTTCTCTCTTTCTATTATAAAATAAATTTTTATCATGCATTGAATTTTAGTTATTGGCAACTTCTTGAATGAAACGAATAGTTATGATAGTTCTGCTAAAAAGCATTCGAAATTAGACAAATTTTTTGTATCTATTCAGTTAGATATATACAACCCTTACCTTTGCCTTTAACTTGAAATATGAAACATAATCCTCGAAACAAGAATTCTTCTCAGGATAATAATTAAAGTTTTTGCCCTACGATGTATAGCATCGGCAGAACTTATATAAGGGCATTTTTATTCCAAATTGGGCACAGTTTACGTAGCCTTGCTAATCATTTCTCACTTCCTTGTAGCTGAGCTTGAGTTACTAAGGTTTTTTATGGCAGCACAGCTTGTTTCAACAGTATATATCTCAGTAGGAATGTTATCAAAAAGCTTTAACAGATTAAAATTCGCATTCGCTGAATTCGCATAATCAAATTGATCACACCTCCAATGTTTTTTTTTGCAATTTTCTGACGTAGCAAAATCAACACTTCATTCTGTAACTCAAAGTAATTGTTTTGTTTGCTTCTCGAAACTCCTCAGCATAATTCACAATAGAAAAAAACGGATCAAATTATGACAAGCATACAGTCATAGCAAGTGACTCATAATCTCACATAAAAAGAAATCAAAAAAAAAATAATCGTCAAATGTCGTAGAGATAAAACCGTGACACACCCTGAGAATTTTTTTTTCTTGAGAGCCTATAAAGAATGCTAAACTTTTTTATATTTTATTGTCGAGTTTCACACTTTCACTGGTATAATCTCTGGTTTCCATGACTTGGAAGGTTGTATTTATAGATGACTCATCAGTGACTCACATATTAGTTTTTGGAGGCGCTTTTGCATTTCCATGCTATGCTAAAAGGTGGGACCATGAAAATAGCAAATAGCATGCTTGGGTGCTATGTTGTGACTAAAAACTGAAAATTCCTAAAAACTAAAAAAAACTATTCCCACAACATTTGAAACAAGAAGCACTGCGATATCGAACCTAGGGCGAATCAACAGGGGCGACGGTTTCCTAAGGGGGGGGGGGGGGTACTGTAGCATACTGTAGTAGATACATACACGCCTACGTAGCTCTTAGGCATCTAAAAAGTTAGCGTAATATGGTGCGCTTGCAGTGGCAACAACTTATGCTCGAAACGCTTCTCATGCTTCTAAATGACGACAGGTTGCTCGCGATCTGCCAAAAAAATAAGCACATTTTTGATGGCAATTATTGTCTGTAGTACTGAAAGCTATGTAGCGACAAATCTACTAGGCTATTGCGCATTGGAAGCGCCTCTTGAACCATCAAAATTATCCTCATCGGTTTCCGCGGCCAGAAAATTTAGTTAAAATTCCAGAGAAGGACAGATGTGATGGGTTTCGAGCGACCACCTGTCACAGACGGTAACGTCCTAAGCAGGTATACGTCTTCAGAACCAATATTTCATGATTTTTCTAGATAACAGTCAATATTTGATTGCAGAACCATGTCGTTTCCCGACATTGTGATGATGACACCGGTACATGTGCCAAGAACAAACTTGAAACGACAATCTTCTGTTCGTGATATCGATCGTAAGAATAAATTTCAAGTTTTCAATACCTCCTACAAATTTACCGTTTTCAGATGCCGGTACCGTCTACTATGCTCGACGTCCACTGCCGCGTTATACTGGTGCACGAACTCTTCCTCGTATGGAGTACGATGTTGGTCCCTATGCGTTTCCAGAAAATTTGGCTACAAGACGCGCAGAGGATACCACTGTTTTTGGCATGATGCCAAGAACAAACTACAGGTTTGAACCCTGGATAAACCTCAACCTTGTTAATTCTACTTGGTTTACCCATAAATTCTAGGATTCCCCGATCAGCTATAGCAGAAGCGATCGGCAACGGGCAATACACGATCGAGAAAATTCCAGTCCGAAGTGATGGAACACCGTTGCCTGATGCTACCACAGCATATTTGAACGATACTATTCGACAAACACAACGAATTGCACCATACACACGACAAACTACGCTTGCCGCTCCTCTGGCGCAAGAAATGAAAGCCCTTTCAGCCGAACAGCAAGCTGACGAGGAGTGAGTCATTTGATGGATTGAGCGAAAATGTCAACATTTCCAAAAAGTAGTCGGAAACTCTTGCAAATGACAGCTGTAAATCTAGCCCTTGGAAATGTCCAGGCTCTCCTCAACACTAAGGGTATATTTGGTTAAAAAATCTGCAAAAGGAATTCCATCTATGTCATGGTTATGTCCAAATGCAGAGCAAAGTCTAGAGTTAGCCTTCAGCTGAATACGTTTGTATAGTGTGGACCCCGGCCAGATTCCCATAGGTACCTCCGCGGCGCAACGGCAGCGCGTACATTTCTTGATGCTTCTCACCTCACTTATGAGCAATAGAGCACGTCTACGCACCATAGGAGAGAACTGAGAAGTGGAAAGCCGTAAATACACTTCGAAAGAAACGTATGCAAGATTAAAACGTACGCAACCTCCATTAGTACCTCAAATTCAATCAATGGCTGCAAATTTCAGACCTGCACCGATGGAAAAGCGGTAATAAGTAAACGTAGAGCAGAAAAAGAATAACAGCATTCTCAAAACGTTTCTTCTCGTAAACTTAGAAACTAGAATGGTAAAATAACTGAAAAAATGTGGATATTTCCGTAAACAGACGTACCAGCTTCGTGGAAGGCTTAATTTGACTTAATACATGTCTACACTCTAAAAATCAAGTCGAGCGGGACTCTTATTTAGTAGAAAAAGCTTTTGGAGGAATATTCGTTTAGAATACACCTCAAATCTCAATCTCTCAGAAAAAAAAAGGGAAAAACACAAGACTAGTACTCAAGACCGAAGCTTTCAGGCCTAGTAGAGCACGTGAAACCTCATCACGGGTTATGCAAATTGTTTATACCTGAAATAGAGGGAACGTAATAAAACAAAAACAAGAAGGAGAGAAAAGCAAGGAATTCCATCGACAGGAGGCGCGCTGAAGGCGTGCGTTGCGTATGCGTTGCGCAGGTATGTACCTATGGGAAGCTGGCTGAGGTCCACACTATAGAAAGCGGGTTTGACAGTTTTCTTTTCTGAATTAGGAAAGAGACATTTTTTTAGCGAAGGGCCATGGATTCGGCCGCAAAAAATATCATTCAAAAGTTCTCCAGTTTCTAAAAACTTGCTGGCCTGCAAAAAGTGTTTTTGAAATGCTAAAATGGGCTTTTTGAACTGTAAAGTTACTTTATTGCTAATGTTGAATATTTTATAGTTAACCCATATAACCATTCTCAAAAATTCCGCGACTCCCTTTCAGGGCCCGGCACAGATCGTCTGGAAGCAGGCTGGACTTCGTTTTTGAAGCAAACAGCAGAGGGGATATCGTTTTTGGCGAGTCGGAACCGAGCACCAAGAATAAGCGCCATTTAGTCGAACACAAGCTTTTCGGACAGGTTATCACACGATTGACATGCTCTATCGTGTATGGCGAAAATTGCGCGCGATTTGAAAGCAAGGCTAAAATAAAAAAATTGCTTGTTTACAGCGCACACAGAAGCATATGACACCAAAATTGAACTGTATACATAAAAAACTATTTGCGAAAGTATTATGTAAAAAGATTTGAAAACTTATGTGAAGTAATACCTTTTCCAAAATTAGATCGTCTCCAGACGGCCACCAGACGATCTGAGATCGTCTGGAGCATATATTTTTGTCACTTCACATAAGTTTCGGATCTTTTTAGTATGGATGGATTCCCCGGTCAAAAATCTATCCCTGAGCATGAAGGCATTTTCATATCATTGCCTTTCCTTTGTTTTTTGCCTTCATTTGTTCTCGCTTTGTTAAATATCGCGCTCTAATGCCAAAGTCTTGTGCATGCGTAGCATTCAGCTCCAATTTGGATTTTCACTCTTACTTTACGTCTTTTCTTTCACACTAGTAGATCTTTCTTGTTTTCATCTTCTCCTAAGCAGGTAGGTCAAAGGGGACTTCGTAAAACTTCCGAAAGTCAGGGGAGACTTCGTTTTCAGAAACCCTAGAAACCGACTCGTGCCGGGCCCTGCTCCCTTTCAAGGCTATACATTACATTCCATTCTAACTAGACTGTTAGCTCATTAAAACCAGTTGTACATGTGTCAATGATTCACAGATAGATTAGAAGCAAGTTATCCAGTAGCCAAAATGGAAATTTCTAGAGCCTTAATCTTACACACAATCTTAGAACAAAAGTCAAGTCTTAAAATTGTTGGATTGTGTCCTGGTAAAGAAAAATATTGCAGTATGATTACTGCATTTTTTGGATGTAAGAAATATCGCGTTATCAATTACAAAGAATAGTTTCGCTTGATCCCTATACGAATTTTATTCATACAATTTTCCTAGAAAGCTCTATAACACCTCTCCTCAGTATAGTAATTAAACTGTTATACAGATGGGGGTAAGTAGACTACGTAACCTGTATTATATTACTTATGTAAATTAGCATTCAACAAATTCGAAAATTCGAGATTCGAAAAATTCGATGACTGAAAAGCTTAAGTAGTATTATCGAAAAATTATAATTCCTTTGATTCTTCACATGATGGGGCGACGCCAAAATGGAATTTTGTGACGGATGTGGTTTACAGCTGATTATGAGAAAAAGTTATCTTGTGTTTTCATAATGCGGTTCGCTAATGTTTGATTCTACTTTTTATGCACTTTTATATGGTCAAGAATAGTACGTACCCAAGAAGAACCAGTTGTCATTTCTAAGATTACATAGCCAACATCAAAAAACGCTACTTTTAAACTATGATGATTTCCGCTAATTTCAGGTTGAGCAAAAAAATGCAAGCTCGGGCACTGGCAGCAAATCCTCATCTCGGATATCAACGTGTGCTCTTCACTCTCACTAAGTATCCTGCTCTAATAATGACAATGATTGCCCTTTGGAACATAACTGGTCGAGGTCAGGGTATGCCAAAGACTGACAGCGAAAATGTGAGAAAACCCCGAATAAAACATTTTTGAGTATTCAAAAAGACATTTTAGGGTGCTTACTATACTTCGCTAATAACGGCAGGTATAGTACTGTTCTCCCAGCTAATACTCAGCTTCCATCACCACAACTCGTACAAAACAGCCAAAGCATTGGTAACTACTACTGTGGCCGCAGGAGAAAATCAATATATCGATTGATTTCAGAGCTACATGTACCATATGTCCATGGTGTTGGCATTTTGTGCTGCAGTGATAGTTATAGTGCTTGCTTCGGTCAACTTCAAAAATTACCAAAATAATGAGTAGGACTTATAAAATCACTATGTAAATCTGAATTCAAAAAAATTCGCTTCAGGACACCGACCACATGCAAATATCAAAACAATGCCCCATGTTACACTAATGGAGAGCGCACTGCATATTTGGCAGTGCTTGTCGGTTGCAGCAGCCTTATAATATTATTTGCCATCGATACATTCTTTTATGGAGCAAGTGGTAAGTCCTCCAATCAGGAAATTGGCTGACCAATCAAAGCAAATGCGCGCCCCGCCCACTCATTCTAGAATGCATCATTTTTTTATGTTTTAATTTATCACGTGGAAAGAAGACTCATGTTATAAGGATAGTAACCTTGAAAACTTGATTTTTAGGCCTTTCCCGAATGAAGAAGCGACTTCGTGATGAATATGCAAAAGTGAGACGTGAAAGCACCTACCTCAACAGTGGATTCCAATATTAAGTAACTAATTGCCATTCTTCAATCTGATGAATATTATGTTTACACGGATGTCAAATGCTCAATGATGTTTATATACAAAAATTGACGAATAATAAATTTCACTTTGAATTTTTCTAGCTATTTCGTTCGCAATATAATCGATGCGCCTAGCAGATTGCAACGGCGAAGGGGTTTTAGATAAGATTACTTAGTTCGGCGAAACCATAAAAGAAGAGAAGGCGATGGAAAGGGTTGCTGGGGTAAAGGAACGCTGACGGGGGATGTGGGAGCTATACAATTTTTTGAGTTATCCATGGCTTTTTCCTGACCAATTAAGTCGCGAGATAATTTTGTTACCTTGAAGGGAAATTTTTCATGACTTTCGAAAGGTTTTTTCTCATGTTCAGATTACGTGGAGACTTGTAGTTTTTTGATATACAATCACACTTAAAAATCCAATTTTTTGAATTTGAAGTTGTTCGAATTATTTTGGCATATTTCCAACTTGCGTTATTGAAGAGCTTAAACTTCCAGACGTCCTCATATTAGTACTAATGTCCCCAAAATCCTCAAAAAAAATCTAAGAGTATAACGATACGAGTGGTAGAATTTTCAGAGGAGAAAATGGAGGCTGAAGCGCCATCACAGAATTGCCTTCATATCTACTCTGACTTACAGTGAAGGGTGAAGATATTGCCGTGGATAGTCTCTTGTCCGTTCCTCATATGTAGTGAATTTTGGGTTTTACTGAAGTTTCTGGAATTTTCTAGCCCACTGACGACGATGTGAACTACCAGTGGCCCACACTTGTGGCGGAGTTATATCCTTTGTAGGTCTAGTATTTCTTCTATAGATTAGAATTTTCTCCAATTTTTTGCAGTCTTGGGACCTGTAGGCTCAATCGTGAAAAAAGTTCATATTTATGTACAAAACAGTCTTGCCTTTACTAATAACCACAAAACCCCAACCCGAAGCTTTTTGCAACATCTCGTCCCGCAGCGCTGCCACGCAAAAATGCGTCGTCGTCAATGGGCTAGAGGGAAATGAAGAATTGTAACAAAACTTGAGTTACGACCTAATATGGAGGGCTTTGGAGGGTTTTTGGTCCTTTTTTCTCTACTCTTACTTTCCCCATATCTTCTTTTTGCTTAGATGAAGCGAGACATGCGAAGGATAAAACTTTATGATAGACCTCTGAAAAAATTGCACTGCATACTGTTTTAAGAGTTTATCGCGCATTCACTTTCCCCTTCCTCTTCCCCTTCCCCCTTCACCTTCTTTACGTCCGCTCATTTTTTCTATCCGCAATCACCTCTTGGACTCGCAAGGATAACCTTCTCAGCCTCTTTCATAATTGTAGGTTATTATTTCGTTTACTGACAGACGGGTCCGAGAGCGGTTGAGATAACAATCAAGGTCGTACACACACGGAACTCGTACCACTCACTCTCTTACGCATGTACCTATATCCGTCGTATTGCCATGGTGACTTAGAGACCGTTATTGTTTTTCTTAAGAAGTAGTATTTTGTGGGACTTCTACGACTTCTCATTTACGATATTACGAATTGCACTTTGCTACGATTATTTCGAGAGTTATTCTTGCATAAAACACTCTGGAGACTCTAGCAGCGAATTTGATTCTATTTATTCGATCTGATTCTTTCCAGTACTCCACTATGTGTAAATCGACAATTAGTTAGATAAATGAATAGTCGAGGAAGCAACTTTGTCTTTTTGTATTTGCGATATTTTCATTTTTATGCGTACGTACGAGGATTTCTCCATTAGTTTTCCATTTTTCGTCTCTTACTACTGCTACTACAAAGGACCTGGTGTTTACTCTAAGAGTCTCCTACTGAGTGTTTACATGCCCTTTTCAGCTCATGTGTGAACAACCGCATAAGCAAACGGTCGAATTTCAAAAGTTTTCAAGTCTATTTTTTGAATTTTACTTCATGATTATTTTATTTCCTCTTTTTCGCGAGTTTGCTGATTTGTCCACTCATTCATCTTTCGGCATGTATTACCGAAATAACTTCATGTTTTGAACAAGTTTCAATAATTTCCGAAAACAAACCTTGTTTAGTTTACAACTTCCGCAGCAATTTTGAAAGGGAATGATTGGTTTTCTTTGATGTAAATTCCATAAAACTACCTTTCCATCTTTCTGCTGTAACGGCTAAAATAAGATGATTGAGCTTCAATAGTTACAGTCTACAAGTCTTTCAAATAATTCGCGGTACTTTTTCGGTAAAAACATTCATTTACTTTCTATGTAGTCACATCCAATGATTAACGTACACGATAATGATTCCGAATTAACGCTGGCAAATTCCTTGGCTTTCGAATTCGTTAGATCTTCCGCACAACCGATTATGCAACCAACTAGGCCCGGCCTTGTATTCTAATTTCTTTGCACTCTTGCAAGCATGAGCCCTGGCACCACTTCCACTTTCTAACTCGTTTTGCATTCCGACTTTGTTCGCAGCCGGGATTAAAATGGGCATTCGGAAAAACAAGCTGGAAGCGACTGATTTATTCATAAGTTAGAATTTTGTTTGTGGCTTGGAGAATCTCACACGGAAGCCTACTTCATTGGCAAAAGTTCTTCTTCGTAGTATTCAGAGTCATGGCTTCGAAATTTGTGTTTCCATCTCTATTCCATAGTTATTCTACAGAGGCGGTAAGCAAATCCATTCAATCTTTTCAATCCTTCCATCTTTCAAAACTTACTTTTACGCCTTCTTGGGTCCCCTAGGAAGTAGAGTAGAAAAAGACCATCTACTTTATTTATGAGTGTTCTCAAAATTCTGTTCTAGCAATGCAAATCAATATTTTCACAAATTAGTTAAATTACAAAGTGCAAGTCCAAGAAGCCCCAGGAGATCTTTACAGCGTTCGCTCCCCCCTCCCCCTCCTCTTCCCTCCTTTTTCGTTTTTTCCCACAAATGTCATCCAATATTTCAGCCCCATAGAAGGGGTAAGAGCTGAGAAATTCGCACATTTTCAAAACCAGTTTTCCGCGTGACTATTTGCGGGTGTGCGTGTGTCAGAGAGAGTGTCTATCCTCTCCCGAATCGCCGCGATCCACTTCTTGGCCCGCGGCCTGATGCGACGTCGTCAGCGACGCGATTCGTCATCGCCGTCGTCGCCGCTCGAGACTAAGCATGCCATTTACGACCTCCACGACAGTGCAATACTCTACGTCCAATTCCAGACTTAGAACACTTCGCTTCCATTACGGGAACGCTCTTTTTATGAGATTCAATCATTGCCATCCATTACGTGTATGGCGTTTCTTCGGCAAATTTACCATCTAGGGTTCGGCCTTGAGATCGTGAGGAGTTAAACTTTCCTCTTTCCTCATATGCAGTGGAGGCCGCAATTGATTCAGTCGGTTATTTTTGCTATAAAATTGATAATTTGTGAACTTTTATATTTATCCACGTATACCCGCGGCAGATTTAGCAAAAAAAGATGGGCTAGCTAACAAATGCACTTTATATTCGTTGTAGTGTAGAAATGCTTATCACAAGGCGACCTGATTTGTAGCTTGTACCCTCATCTATACCTGATAGCTATTTGTCGTGCTTCTGCTTGAGCAGAGCCTGATTCAGTGGGGCTTATTCCGCCATTTTTGGCATTATTTCTCTAATGTCACCAAGTTTCATACAATGCGTCTACGAAGCTTAGGTTTTTCTCGAATAAATTGGGTTTAGTTTAGTTTTTTCTTTCGGTTTAATTTTTTTTGAAATTTTTTCTAATTCATCGCTCTGTACTTCATTCAGATTACCTTCTTCATAGTAAAATGATCGATCGAAAGGCTAATATTTTCTAGTACAGCTGGAACAAATAACGATCCTCTTGAATATTCATGAAAAGGTGGAGTACAAATTTCTGCAAATGGCTGTTTCCTGGATGTTCGGAAGAATTACTTCCTTGACTTTTATACTTTTTCAAATCTGCTATGACTTACTACCTTATTTGTGTTTTTGAGACCACAACGATCATTGTTGAGGAAAAGATCACATCTAGTTTTTCAGTTAGAAAGTGGCAACTCGTATACAATGGAACAAGTTCATGTAAACTTTGGTACATATACACTCGAATACTCGAAAAAAATTTCTTTAAAGTCAACAGCATTGCGTTCAAGCAAAATTCAGAAACAAAATGTTAAATAGGAATATCCTATAGTTGAGCTGTGCGCTTCAATTAGCACAGTTAATGAATTCAATGAAAAAGCTCAAGAAGTTACAAGAAGAAATGAAGAAGCAAGCTATTCTTGCGACCAAGTTGAGTGTGTGATGCCTCTCTTCATGTCATGCCATTTCCATTAGGGAGGAATTTTTCTGGAACTAGCTTTTCCTAAATCGGCATTCTTTTTTCGAGCTTCTAGTCCCAGGTATGGGCGTGGCGCGAGCTACAACGCACAAGTTTTTATGCACGATATCTGCATTTAAAGCTAGAGGCCTATAAAAAAATTTGTAGCAAAATCAATCTAAATAAATTTTGAGATCTAGTTCAAGTTATTGATTCGAACGGGCTGATTGCTTGAATTTTTTTGCGCATTCATACCATAGTGACCCATTTGAGCAAGTGTTTTTCTACTAATCTAAATTTCTCTTTCAATATATCGTTTTCGAAGTTTTTTCCTACTATGAATACCAGAACTCTTGTGCCCGAGGTGCATGAATCACCACTTATTTTCTATTCATAGACGCAGTCTGCAAACATTTGCTATATCGGTGCAAGTGTACTTTCTAGACAAATGTTCTTTCTCTGAGTGAAGAAAGGCTAATCAGTTGTTGCAGTTTTGAGTCGGTCATTTCTCTAACAACTATCTTTTTTTGTTTGCAAATTCTAGCTTTGATGAGCTAAAAGAATGCATCACGAATGCTTTTTTCAGTTTTTGAAAAAACTTTTTTCTCCTTTTTGTTTGCAATTTTGTCCTACTTTGTGCTCTTTATGTTGGTACTATACGTCTCCTTGATGGCTTAAGGGACTGGCTCAGGGCATTTGTCAGGCATTTGTCATCTATGGTGCCCCAAAACTGTGAAAAACTCGCTTTCGTATAAGGGCTTTGCCATATAGTGGTGCTTTTTACTGG